GTGTTGGATAAACCGGGTAGGCCGAAGCTTGTAGGTTTGTGGAGAAAGGCAGCTCGGCCAGTGAGGGCCGAGATGGGAAAGTCTTGTATTAGAGGAAAGAGGGAAGGGCAGAGACCACTCGAGGCCGAGCAGCCGAAGAGTGCGTCACCACACCTATCCGTCACGCAATTCTGATCACTCATCGAATCTCCGAAGAAACCAAGCAGAAACTCCCTGTTCCTCCGCGATCTACCAACTGCAATCTCCGTAGATCCATGTCCCATACTCAACCACATTACTATGCTACGAGTATATCTAACACGCTGCTACACAGGGGAAGTAAACGAGCGTGTCGTGTTCAGATGTAGAGGTCGGAACCCGTATTCTGGTGTGACATTCGAGTCCTTGCGAGGGAGGGGGCGAGGGGGGCGGGGCCACCACTTTCCTTAAAGAGATGGGTCCCATGATTATGTTTGGTTTATCCCGACTTTATTCCTCTCATAATGTAGCTAGCTGTCGATTCGCATTTTTCTGCCGAAACCGACGCGTAATTGTTGAATCAAGACGAAGTAGCTGCTGTGTTGCCACATCGCCAAATTCAAACGATGTACGATCCAATACCTAATGTGCTCAAAAGGTCATTCATGCATAATCGATACTCTTCTGAGGATTCCTGAGACAGACCTATGCAGCATGCAGCCTCTTCACTCCCGCGTAGAACCCCTGTATGACTATTATCTGTATTTATTGAGCGACACAATTCTATCGTAAATATAACATCTACCTCTACTCTACAGTGTTGGCGACGACGCTAGGCATTGAGCCTGGGACCGAGTCGACCGAATTGGACGTTGACGGTTGGTGGTGCACGCCACCGCCGTGCGGTCGATTAACACCCAAACATGCACGCACGGAAAGAAGACGGAAATACACAGCACCTGGCACAGCCAAACAGGTATGCATAATGGCCGTAGTAGCTCCGTGCTCCTAGCTCCCTGGTAAAATCCCTTGCGGAGCAGCGCGTCCGCGGAACAGCGCAGAGGGTGTGTGTTTGGTTGTGTGTGTGGTTAGGGAAGAGAGACAACACTGAACGGGTAAGCAATATGTGTGTAATGTCTGTAGCTATCAACAGCGAGCTGCTATCATGTCGCACCTTGGAGACACACTCTGCTATATCTTACGAGGGTTACGTCCACACCAACCACCAGTATTCTTACGAGAGAGGATCCAATCGCCATTAGATCGCCAATTGCGGGTGTTGCGCCTCCTGTCGGCCCGTTGGCAATTTCACCAATCTAATTTGACGTATTTATCGACTCGTGGGCCCGCGCCCCTCTCCTAGATAGAGGGGGTCGAACTCGCTCGATCCGCGGGTGAGGTCGCTGTGGTGCTCGTACATTACTAGGTCTAGGATAGTACAGAGAGACAAGGCGGGCACGACCTGCTTCATGCTTCCGAGGGCGCCTTCCGGGATATGCCGGGGAGGGGTTGAGATTGATAATGTTGCCAAACC